ATTTTAAAACATTAGTAAACTTCTAAAACATATACAGTTTTGCAAACCATGACTGTTGAATCGAACACAACAAAATTAAATTTGGAGTGTTAAATCATTTAATATTTGTAGAGATCGAATCACACTTGCCTAAAACACCCAGCCGACCGCTCCAGACTTTTGTCGCAGAAGAAGGCTGTCAAGGCGCTCCTGCTGCTTCTTGCGTTCAACCGGCCTGTCCAAACGACTGTGATCGGAACTCCCTGAATGTGGGCGCATGTGGTTTTTTTCTAATTTATTTTATATCTCTCTATATCTATCCTCTTTCAAACCCTTTTCCCCACCCCCGTACAGGGTAGCAAACCAGTTCGTCTAGGTTAACATCCCTGTCTCTTCCTTTTATTTATTTCTCTCTCTCTTGGCTCGAGGATTGTCAACTATGCAAGTGCAAGTCAGGCCGAATAAGCAGCCTGCCTCAGAACCCGCGCTGACGTAAGCTTTGTGCGTCCTCGTAGACTCAAGCAGTCCGTCCCCCCTTTGGTGCCAGTATGGAGCGGCCCTTTATTTTCCACCGCCAGTGGAGATTCGTGCTCGCCACCCGATCGTGACGGGAGTCGTGAGTGTGCGTATATAAAGCCAAAACACGGTCGCGGTGCGTCTCGAGGGATGCGACCTGATGGGTTCTTGATGGTCGTGCAGAAGCTGCGATGGCCGCTCGTCGCCGGCCATTGTGATCGCGGGCGCGTCTTGCGTGGGACGGAAGGAGCTGGCGCGAGATGTTTGCCCAGATAAGGGTCACTCGGTTTACGCACACGCCACGTGCACGGCGAAAAAAAGAAAAAGAAGAAAAAAGGCCCCACTGCTGCCGTGCCTCTTAATGTGTCCAACCTACGGTCGAACAATCTAGACTTGGGCCTGTATTCACAAATGCTTCTTCGAGACAAAAAAAAAAAAAATAAATGCGCACAAGCATGGTGCTGGACGACTGCTTACCGAAGGCAACGGGAAAATGCACTTACTAAAAAAATAGTTTCGTGAATTATGACCCAGAACTTTGAAAGCCCCGTTTCACTACGTACTGCACTGCACGCATGCGTACTCTAAGAAAAAAAAGTGTGTGACGTCACGAGCCTGAAAACGGCGGAGGAGGGAAGATTTAAAAAGAATTCAGATGGCACAGAAAGTGCTGATAGTCCCGCCGCGGTGGTCTGGGTACTCGGCTGCTGAACCGCAGGTCGTGGGTTCGAATCCCGGCTGTGGCGGCTGCATTTCCGATGGAGGCGGAAATGTCCTAGGCCCGTGTGCTCAGATTTGAATGCACGTTAAGGAACCCCAGATGGTCAAAATTACCGGAGCCCTCCACTACGGCGTTTTTCATAATCATATGGTGGTTTTGGGACGTTAAACCCCACATATCAGTCATTCAGAAAGCGCTGCAAACAAGCCATAAGTGTTAGCTTTCATATTGTGATAAGCTTTCGCATATCATAAAGTTGAACAATTTCTTTCGTACATTTGATGAGTGACGCTCTTGTGGAGTAAACTTTGGCAGTGTTTGCGAAACTGTAGTTTCTCTAGTTCAATTACTAATACTGCTGATATTCATACTTATCCTCCAGAAAAAAAAAAGCGATAGCACCATGTGCACGAAAACAATATCGAAATATTGTACACGAAACTCTACTAAAATGAATTCATTAATTCATGCTCTTTTATATCAAGAATAAAAGAAAATAAATATTGCATTCTGAATGGTTTCCTGTGGCTAAAATCAGTCATAAAACCGCTTTACTGGGGTCCAGGAGACCAATTACATGGCAACAAGTGACTGCTGGAAAGATTTTCAACACACATATTGTAACGGTAGGATGAGAACGACGAAGAAGACAAAGAGAAAGACGATGTTGTCAGATCTGTGAGCCAACTGGGCGCCATCTTGTCCACCACCGAGTTTATTCCTCGTTTTATAAAGTAAAGTTATTCTCCCGTAACATCATTGGTGGGAGGTGCGGGGTACTCACTTCACGCAAAACGGAGCTTCGTAGCGGGCGCCTAGTGGTCTCCCCCATGGCGACTGCAGTCAACAATGCCGACCCTTCCCCGACTACCGTGCCTTCTCCAACTACGTCCGTGCTTTCTCCAACTGGACCGTCAACCCTCATCTTGGAGCCCCCGAGAGATCCAGGTACCTTTTCTGGCACTGATGGCATTGACGTAGAAGCCTGGCTGAAGTCATACGAACGAGTGGGTGTACGTATGCGATGGGATCCAACGCTCATGCTGGCCAACGTGATTTTTTATCTCAGAGGTACCGCAAAGGTCTGGTACGAGACGCACGAGGAAGAACTGACTAGCTGGGAGTTATGCAAGCAAAAGCTCCGGGAGCTATTTGGCAGGCCTGTGGGAAGTCAACGCGC